TATTCTTGCAGAAGTTCGGTGAACTTTGTTGAAGAAGATGTAACGCTGAACAATGTCGTTTTGAAGTTCTTCACGGAAACTGTTTTGACAGAGGCGTTACTGTGCGGGTCTACGAGTCGGTTGCGTCGCANGTGCGGGTCTACGAGTCGGTTGTGTCGCACGTCGACGAGCAGTCCATAATAATGTAAGAAATCTGCGCCGATAATTGGGCGAGCAACGTCCGCCATCTCGAACGTCCAATGGAAAGAACGTGAGAACCCGAGATCTAAGTGGAGAGTCCTTGGTCCATATGTTTGAATAATGGTACCATTAGCAGCAGTGAGCGTAATGTTAGACGCCACTTGTGCACACTTCATCGGAGGTAAAACTGAAATTTCGGCGCCAGAGTCTATCAGGAAACGTTTTCCTGAGCGGGCGTCCCGGACATACACACGACAAGACGAGGGGGCAACGGAATTTTCCGCCGCCTTCGCTAGTTTTCCGACGAGTACGCACAAGGCGGTCGACACTTTCTTGCTTCGTTACCAAAACGGTTATGATAAATGCACCACTTATGATTGTACGCGCTAGATCGCGACCGGGAACGTGAACGGAACGATGAACGTTGTCGACGATACTGATCCGGAGGACGATTGTTCGTTTGTATGGTAGCAAGAGTCGCAACTTGAGCGGTGAGTGCCAGAATTGAATTTTCTATTGCCCGAAGTCTATCAGGCTCGGGAGCAGACGATGTGGATAGCGCATAAACATCCCGATTGGCGCTGCTGACATCCATGACGCGGTCGGCACGTTCAGCGAGTTCGTCGAGACTGCCGTCCAAACCGGCGACTACAGTGAGAACTGCTGACGGGAGTTTTTGGAGCCAGAACTCTTTCAATGCGGCGTCTCCGATTCCTTCTGGTAACAATCATATCGCATATCGCGTAAGAGCTGCGACGGTCGGCGATCGCCCAACCCGCCGGGCTGTACAATGTAGCGAAACCGGGACGCTTGCGGTACCGCGTACGCAGCGATAAGGCGTTCCTTGACTAGTGCGTATTGCACTCAGGGCCTAGGAGATCGGAAATGTTGCGAATACCGTCTTCGTCTAGAGCAGCTAACACGTGGTTGACACGGGACAAATCGGATCTGATTCGCTGGTTATTGAAAATCGCCTCAGCGTGTATAAACCACTGAGTGGGTGAGTGCCGCCAGAAACCAGGAAGACGCGTAGTATTAATCGCGGCTACGGCAGTGTCGAAATCCGTCGGTGCCCTCGGTGGATGGGCCACTAGCGGCGGCGCGACCGGTTGATTTGACGGCGGAAACGTGTCATTGTCCACTGACAGTAAATCTCGCATATCGAATAATAAACGCACGAAATAATAAAATATAAAAACGAAAACTAGGAACAGGAATAAAACACAAAAAGTCTTCTCGAATAATATAATCATCGTCAATTTTATCAACAAATCGAGCGCATATTGAAAACTGTTCAATGCCACTCACATCTGTACTTTCGTCAGCAATGACAGAAAAATATCCAGATTTGTTTACACGTTGCACAATATTTGTCGTTATTTGTTTCCCTGCTGCATCAATTATTTCATTTTGAATGCGATAACTTAAATACATTGAATTTGCACCCGCAGTATTCAAATGATTGGCCAAAACCTAATCACCGCTGTTTAGAGAATAGCGAATTAACGCTCTGAAATTTCCGTCGTTTTCTTGTGGCATTTTTAATGATAAAGGTCCTTGATCTCGATGACCCCTTATTGCTAATCCCTGCCTACCACACAGCAAAACTGCTCGGATGATCGGAATTAACTTTTTCCTGTTTTCGAGTTGCTGTATTTTCCGTCCTTTGTCAATTTCGCTGATCACATCACATTTCCGGTTCTCGTAAATCATTTTAAAATTTTGTCCATCCTCCATGGCATCAAGGTGATATTTTTTTGTTTGGTGTTCTTTGAATTTTTCGAGCGCTTTCTTCCATTCTCGAAACGCTGTCTACACTAACATATTTGAGCTCTGATGACCCCCTTTTCCAACAAAATTTGATCCAAATGAGACACAACAACGGCAGTAAGCTCCGTCTTCTGCAGCAGAATACACCAACCATGCAAATGAGCGCAACCAAGAATGCTGAAATTTTAAATTTCGTTTGCCAGAAGTCGGAAACTTGAAGTTGATATCAGGTACCCAATAATGTTCAATTACTTCATATTTTTCAAAGTCGTTCAACTGCTTATGAGAAAAATTTGCGATATCATTTGGAAAAATCTATAAAATAATTATAAGTAAATTATATTTACTAGTTTATTTCATGTTAAAGGACCATGAAAGAAATAAAAAACTGTAGCACAGGGGGTCGGTGTAAAGTCTTGTCTGGGTATAGAAGTGATGGGACATAATTATAGCTGACAGTGATTAAAAACCATTATCATAAAGAACGCTTCGATACAAATCAGGAGAAAGTGTTAAATTTTTTAGCTTAAATTAGATTATTGCAAAAAGTAACATAAACTCGTATTTCTACAAGAATATCCTGATTAAAAGTATGATTTTTTAAGTATAAAAATAATGACAACTTATTTAGTCAGCAGCAGTGCTCTAAATGGGAAAAAAAAGTAGGGGAGCTCAGTCCCCCTGCGCACCCCCCCAATTCGAGCACTGGTCAGAAGTTAAAACAAAAATTTATATCAGAAAAAAATTAAAATATTTTGTAGGGGAAAGAGAGTCCCCACCTCAAACACCCCATATTTATAATTTATTTATGTATAAAATTTGTTCTTATTTATAAATAATTAACAAACAAGAGTCAGTAGATATTTTAAAATAATNACAAGAGTCAGTAGTTATTTTAAAATAATGTAAAAAGTTCAAACATTCGTAGAGGGTGCTCCCCTTAACAACCTGAATTTTAAACTGATTATTGATTTGTTTATAATTAAAAAAGTAATTCTGTAACAATGAAGTTTTACATTTAAAATACTTAAGAAAATTCGTTATTTTTGAAAAAAACTAGTTCTTTATTTTTCAACTTTAAAATTCATTAAGCTTAAAACATAAGTCCAAGTCCCTCAGTTTTTTTACAAAAGAAAGTATATTACATAAACTTTAATTTAAGCTATTTATTAAAGTGTCAGGTTTTCCGGAACATTTTCTAAAGTTGAGTTGAATAAAAATTATTTTCAAAAATAAGTTGAACTTTCAAAACAATTTTCTGGAGACTTCAATTTTTATAAACAATATACCAAATAAAAAATAAATACTTAAGGTATTTATAAAAAATATATATATTATTTTTATTTGTTTATTTTTGGGGAAGTTATGGCTATTTTAATAAAAAAATTATGAAAATGTCGAAATATACATACAGTGTCCCAGTGTGATATGACAAGTCGAATAACTTTTGATATTTTCAATATTTTTCCATACTTATTTTTTGAAATAATTTTTAAGGTTTTAGACTATTTTCAAAATATACATTTTATTATTTTTCTCCATTGAGAAAAAAAAAAAAAATTTTAATTTTTTTCTTATTGGAAAAAATTAAAAAAATATTTGTTATAAACATAGTCCAAAAGTTCAATAATCTTTCAAAAAAATAATTTTTGAAAAATATTTTAAACATAAAAAGTTATTCCATTTGTCAGTTGAGTCTGGGACACCCTGTATATATTTATAGATATTTTTTCAATGATGTTCGACAAAAACTAGTTAAGTCTAAAATTTGGATTGGTGTGTTGATAAGTGGCCTAAGTCTTATAACTGGTTTTTCTCAAACAAAAAAATTATTTTGTGAAATGTGTATAACAACTGGTAAAATCGATGTACGACTAAACAGTTTTACCGTATGATTTTTCTGTACCTAGATATGACATAAACCCAATTTTTGCAAATTTTAGATTTAGCTAGTTTTTCCCGAGCACCATCGTTTTACTCTGATTTTTCGCCTGAACACTAATGGGGATTAAAAAGAGCTACTTTTATCCGAAAAGTTGATTTTTTCAAATTTAATTTTGAAAGGGTTCTACAATTACTCCAAGTTATAAATATATCTTAAATGAAAGCTTATGATATTTATTATAAATTTAAAAAAAATGAATTTCACCGACACTTTATCTTTCATATGTATATATGTATATAACTACCAAAGTTTGCAATTAGGATATAGTTATAAAAAAAAGAATTGTTGACTAAATTTAATTGTATCTACAGATAAAAAGACTGTGCACCGACTCTCCTGTGCTACTCTATGTTAATATTAATTTTATTCATTATTAGTAATATAGAATATTAGAAAAAATATTGTATATATTATATTGTGTGGGTGTAGTATTATATAGAATTTAATACTAAAATAAATTTATTTACAAAACGATGTAATCGTTCTAAAAATGTATTAAATAAATAAATATGTAAATTCTTAACAACTCACATTACGACTTTCAACAGGTTGTGAAATATCAGTTCTTTGCCTCTTTGTTGGTGGACTTTCTTCAGTCGATTTGTCTAATTTCTTGTCAATATTATTGGTAATGGGTTTAAAAAACTTTAATATCGAACTCATTTTACTCAAAATTATTCAGTCAAAACTTCAGTAAAGAGCGTACAAACGTACATCCATAAATGTTGTGCATTTGTTGGCAATGTGGTTTATTTTGAACAATTTACTCCAACATATTTTAAATTTTAGATAACACGGGTCGTTGCGAATAATTCCCCGAAATATGTCTGAGGCCACAAATTAATAACCCTAGCCGTCTACATTATTATCGAAATGGTGGCGACCGGTGTCGATCAGTTATTTATAACATATTCACAGCATTATTATACTAAGTAATGATATTTTTTGTATGCACTTATAGTGACGTATACGAGTATATGTTAATTTACAAATCATGAGAAACTTTTAGACAACTAATAATGAATTTTATTATTGTTTTTTTTTAGTAATATACTTGTAAGTCAAGTTATTTTATTTTTTGTTCTTGATATTTCGGGGGGGGGTTTCAACCCCCAAAACACCCCCCTGCGTTCGCGCCTGCTGCAGCTCCATCGTAGCCTTGTCCGCGTAAATAATTTATGTTGATACCACATGCATTTAATGTTGTTAAAAGTACATCTGCTAAATTTTGACCCGAAGTTGATTCTACTGGTACAAATTTTAAAAATTGTTCAACTATTTTAAAATTGTTTTCATCGATACACTCAATATATCTTACACACAATGAGAATTGTTCGATTGAGGAAATATCAGACGTTTCGTCAGCGAGTACGGCAAAACATTTAGCACTATTAACTTTAGTTACAAGTTTAGATAAAATAATTTCATCACAAGCATCAATTATTTGGTTCTGAATATTCCAACTAATATACGTTGAATTTTTTCCGCAAGTCATTAAATGTTGTTTTAAATTTTTGTCCCCAGAATCAATTCGTGCCCTAAGCAACGCTCGAAAATTACCTTCGTTGCACTCAGGTTCTTGTTCTACGTTAAACGTTCCGTAATCTCGATGTGCCCCAAGTGGCAGACATTGTCTTCCACACAAAATAATCGTTTTTATTATAGATTTCAGTTTTTCTTGATTTTCTAAAGCCTGATGGTGATGAGCTTTATCGATTTGTTTATCAATCGATAAAATTTTTCCTGACATGACATCCATAAAATTATCTGCTTTTAAATTAGCTTCCTTGTGATAATTTAAAGTACCGTGTTTTTCAAATTTTTCTAAGCCCTTTTTCCAATTATTGAATCCCTTTTTAACAAATGTATGAAGTGATTGATTGGAACTGTAACCCGCCATAGAAGGTGAAAATAATACGCAAACTTTACAAAAAGCACTATCTTCAATTTTTGAATATGTTAGCCATTTGTATTTAGTTAACCAAAGTATATTGAATTTTCTACTTTGGTTACCAATTTGTTGAATTGGAAAATTAAAATTATTATTCGGGACCCAAACATTTTGCAAAACTTGAATTTTTTCTTGGTCGTTGAGTTTTTTATCGACAAATAATGATATATCATAAGAAGAAAAATTTTTATAATTACCAGTAGTATTAGATGTTTGTGACGGCGAAGCAAATATTTCTTGAGGATTGGGCAAATCATTATTTTTTGGAATTTTCGGTTTAATACTGATAAAGTTAAGTAAAGTACCAGCGGGTTTGCTTCGTTTTTGACTCATTTTGCAGATTTTTACTCAAAGTAGTAAATACGTATTCAGTACAACGTTCACAACGACAAAATCAAACGGACTGAATTAAACAAACGAAATTTCACGCGTCAAATAGTCTACAATTATGATAAATATTGTTATTGTAGTTAATGATCAAATCGACGGCTGTCTATCTAACGTAATCGCTGCTGACTAGTTCTTAGAAATTAGAATACGCTAATACCAATAAATCTAAAAATAATTTTCAACAAAATAAGCGCTCGGCGATTGCCACAAACCTTATTACGCATTATTGAACTATTAATATGTATCTAACATAATAATAAAATTTGGAAAAAAAATCATTTTAATACTGTATTTGTGACAATGTGCTATAATAATTTATAATTTAATGCAAAAAATATTTTTGGGGGGGGCTTTAGACCCAAAGCCCCCTCTTGGGTGCGCCACTGCATAGTTATATAATAAAATGATCATCATTGAATATACATAATAATTTTTTGGTTATATACAGTGTTTCCACTTACAGTAGACAGAATATATCAGGTACACTCGGCTATTACCTTCTATATTTATTCAGGTATAAAATGAATACACATTTTTAAACAAAACTTGTTTATTTCTTGTTAACTTTTGTAATATAATTTATTTTTAACAATTCATTATGAACTATACATTATTATACAATTTTTTTTTTATTTCATTATTCACTTAGTATGGTACGAACAAAACATATTACACAGAGTCCAACATTACAATTTTTACATTGTGTGCGTCTCACAGTGGACAGAAACGCCGATTTAGGCGGCCAAAAGTATTATTTTTTAAAAATCACTTAAAATTTTTTTTTTAGCAAAACACATTAATATCATACTTAAGGGTTTTAATACAAATTTTCAAGTGCATAAGTTGACTTAGTGAAGGTGTATAGCTATTTTAATGTTAAACTTCTAAAATTTATCCGTATTTTTAGTAATTTTAAGTTTATTTTTGTACATTTTTTTTATGCCTTAAAACAGTGTTTTTCAACCTGTGGGTCACGAAGCTTCTGTTGGGGGGTCGCCAGAAGTCGAGAGAACTTCAGTAAAAAAACAATTAAAATTAAAAATATTGATTTATTAAGTAAGAGAATTTTAACAAAAGGATATACTCATAATCATTGTATGTTAATACAAAAAAATCAACAAAAAATTAAATCCTACGACTCATGTTAATGCGAAGGTTGTACTTATTTCTGATTAATCAATTTCTCCCATCGTGGATCTGTATTTGCAACAAATAGAATTAAATCGTTCTCCAAATTCAAGCGATTTCTTTGCTTACTTTTTATTTTGGCCATTGAAGAAAATGTCAACTCGCATAAGTACGAGGTGGCAAACGGAATCAAACACCTCAAAGCCTCAGTTGCCAATTCCGGGTATTCTGTTTTTCTCCTTAACCAAAAGGTATCCATATTAACAGATTTGAATTCTAAGTCTAACATCCCATCGGTAGATAATTCTAGCAGATTTTCTTTGAGCTTTGTTGGCAAATTATCCTCATTTATAGCTGCATTTAAGAAAGGATTTAAGATCCACCTCTGCCCATTATTGCTTTGCCTTTAATAGAATTGACAATCTTTATAATAATATTTAGAACTTGGCTATATTCCTGTGGGAAGGTTTTGGCCGCAAGAGCTTGGCGATGGAGAAAGCAATGCACCCAACGAGCGTTTGGTATCTGTTCTTTCAGCCTAGCAATAAATCCACTCTTCGCACCAGTCATCGCTTTTGCTCCGTCGCTGCAAATAGCAATGCATTTATTTGTCCAATCGATATTCATATCTTGCGTAGCTTCAAGGAACATGTTATACAAGCACTGACCTGTAGTATTTGTGGGAATCGCTTTACAGAATAATATTTCTTCCATTAATTTTTCACTGGATTCAAAACGCACAAAAGCTACAAACTGCGCACAAGTCCTTGCAGTATTGCCATCGTTCGTAGTTTCATGTCCTATAATTGGACAATAATGAATATATATTAGACAATATTAAATTGTATAGAATGAATTATTTTTTAAATGTTTTAACATTCTAATATTAAATTAGACTAAAGTATCACATACCTTGTAATACAATATCTACTAATAGTCCCATTTCAGACCTAAATTTATTTTGAATATGTTGTTTACGAACACTATACAAATCTTTGTTTACAGCCTTAACCTTTACAATTAGAAGAAAATAAACTTTCAGTGGATTGTATATTTTATGATTTTTTTATTTTTACCTGCCAAGTTTTAATTTCTAATCTATACGACAGATGAATAAAATACTCAAAAAAACGTATCCACTCATGCAACGTTGACAATTCATACTTATAATTTTCTGTTATGCATGGTCTATATTTAACTGCCTCAATATCATTCATTTCGGTTGGTTTACATTCACAAATAAAACATTTTGGCTAGGTATTCCAGTCAAAGAATTACATACCTATAAAACTTTTTTTTTTATCGAACCCAGTTAAGAGAAAAAAGTAATCAAATTATGTATATCAATAAAAAATATTGATCAATTTTTTTCTGTGACTGAATAATATAATCATTACTAATAAAAGTACACAATAAATTTTAAATATTTATAATAAAGTTTAATATTAACCTTTCCATCAACCATAGAAAAAATAAGCGTATATTTTACTTCAAAGTATTCGTCATTGAATAATACATATGTAGTATTTAATTTGCTTATTTGTTTTTCAATTTCTTCTACCTCCTCTTTTGTACTCTCAATTGTTTCTTTCATAAATTTGTATTTAATTGGTCTACATATCTAATAGAAGAAGGCATCGAATTTTTCCAAATTACGCCACTACTATCATTGCTATTATCACTACAGCATCTAAGTTCAAGTCGTACAAGAGAGAACATGAACGGTCCATCTTCTAGAAGTAGCCAAACAAAATACTAATATACTTTTTTAAAAATTTTTAATAGAGTACTTCAATTTGCTTCATTATATTTTTGATTTAAAAAATCAAAAATTACTGCCCTTGAGTTATTGTTTGTTATATTTTTTAAATTAATACAATTTTTTTTAATGACTTCAATCAGTTGTTAATTTGAAAAAAAATGGATGATGAACAATCAGAAACTAAAATAAATGTATAAATTTAATATTGTTAAAAATTATAATATCGAAATTAAAAAAAGGTTTAATCCTAAATCTTGTAACAATCATATTATTTATTATATAACATTATGATCAAAAAAAATGTATAACTTGTTAAACAGTTTTTCTAGTAAAAAATAAATCTATACACTTTTATAAATTGATTAAATAAGGGTATAAATTATTTAATAATCATTAAATCATTGTGATTCAACAGTGATAGAGTAATGTTGTGCGTGCTCGTTTTTTCCTCTCTAATCTATTTTTATATACTATTATATATACTTGAAGTTTAGTAAAAAATTGCATTATGGATTGTGTGTGTTTTATTTGCAATCTTAAATTTGCTGACTTTGATGTCCCAATAAAATGTGATGGTTGTAATTTTCAAGCTCATAGTAAATGTTCTGGACTTACAGCTGGTGAGCTAAAATGTTTTTCTTTAAAAAATCGCACCTTAAAATACTTTTGTTCGTCTTGTGTAAAAGGCTTACGCGATATTCCAGAATTAAAAGGTTAAATAATTCGATTGTTAACAGAAGTAAACCAACTTAAATTGTCAAATAGTGCAAACTCAGCCATTTCTGAAGATTTCATAATTAATGAATTAAATGATCGTAATCTGAGAGCTTCTAATTTAATTATGTATAATATTCCGGAATCAACAGCTGTTAATACTGCTGATAAAATCAGACATGATGAAGTACAAGTATCTAATATTATTAGCTGCATTGTTAGTGATTCCGCTATCAAGCCATTAAAGTTGATAAGATTTGGTAAACAAGTTCAAGCTAACTTTAAGCCTCGCCCAATTAAGATAGTGTTACCTACACCAGCGGTTCCCAATTAGTGTAAAGCCACGGACCCCTAGCTATAACTTAAATTGGTCCACGGACCCCTTTTTTGTAAATACTTACTTTTCAATTTTATTTTATTATGAAAATGAGAAATTTGAAAGTTATTTGTTATTTTCAAGTTATTTGAAATAACACCTTCAAACTTTATGAGACAAGTGAAATCTTTCTTTTTTGTTCATAATTTCGTCTAAGTCTGGCAGCATGCTTGATATTTTAACTCTTAAATCAGCGTCAATATTAAGTCTATTACGATATTTATTTTTCATGTAACAGTAGGTAGAAAAAGCTTGTTCACATCTATATGTTGTGCAAAAGGGGATCAAATGTCTTAAATCTTTCTCAGCCAGTTGCTTTTGATTATTTTGAACAATTAACCAAAAATCAATTAGTTTTTTATCGTTGAAAATATTTTTCATCGTACCATTAGTTACTAAATCAATTAATTCATCTTGTTCCTGTTCAGAGAGATTTTCTATTTTTTCAATATCACAGGAAAATGGATTTCTTATCCACGTATTATTTGGGTCAGGTTGATGAAAATATTTTCTTAATATTTTGGCCATGCTCAACAAGTGTTCAGATATTTCACCCTTTACCTCCTGTGATAAACATTCACACGAAGATTCCAAAAAAGATTGTAATGTCGGAAAGTTACTGAAAGAGTTCTTTTCAACACGTATTGCCCAAATTTCAAACTTTTTTATAGTTGCTTCGATTTTATCCTCAACGTGAAAAACGTCAATATAAATTCCTTGTAAACTCAAATTTAGTGTATTCAAATATTCAAACACATCAGCCAAGTAAGCTATCCGAGACAGCCAAGAAAAATCAGTTAACAAGCCTACAAACCTGGTTTCGAATACTCGAACTTCGTCTCTTAGTTCAAAAAAACGCTGAAGTATTTTTCCACGTGAGAGCCATCGAATTTCAGTGTGCAAAATAAGCTGTACGTGGTCACTTTCCATGTCTTTGCAAAGGACTTCAAAAAGCCTGGATTGTAGAGGTCGTGATTTAATAAAGTTTATAATTTTCACTACTTCTTCTAAAGTTGTTTTCATGTGTTCTGATAGACGTTTAGCAACCAACGCTTCCCTATGAATACAACAGTGAGTCCACTTTACTTGAGGTGCAACTTCTTTCACACGACCCAACAATCCAGTTTTGTAACCTGACATTGCTGCTGCACCATCAGTGGTTATTCCAACGCATTTTTCCCACCTAATGCCATGCTCTGTAAAAAACTTATTAATAGCTTCAAATATATCTTTTGCCGAAGTATGTAGGAGCTCGCATGAAAACAAAAAATCTTCAAATAAATGTTTTTCCCATATAAAACGGACAAAAACCAACATAGATGACTTACTTGCTATGTCAGTACTTTCATCTAGTTGCAATGCAAACTTGTCACTTGTAGACAGCCTTGTAAATAGTGTTTCTTCAATATTTGCAGACATATCAGTAATTCTTCTTTGAATTGAATTATTAGATAGGGGGACAGAACTAATCAACTTTGCTGCAGATTCACCTAACATTGTTTTGCAGAAGACAATTGCAGCAGGAAGAATCAGTTCTTCGGCTATGGTATGAGCCTTACCAGATTTTGCAACAAGTTGAGCGACTTCGTATGAAGCTAAAGTGGCTTTTTTATTACCACTTAAACTTGTCGAAGATTTCATCACTTTTTGTGATTTTTTAAATTCTCCTAACTTGGCTACAAAAAAATCCAAAGACTTACTAGTAAATTCGCCATGTTTTGTCTCAAAATGGCGTCGTAATTTGGAAGGTTTCATACTTTCATTGGACAAGATCTCCAAGCAAATAACACACTGTGGTTTTGGTTCATCTTCAGTCCCAGCAAATGTAAATCCTAATTGTAAATATTCAGTGTTATACTTTCTCACTTTAGTTCCTACGGTACTCTTCGAGTTTACATTACGGCGATTTGAGTCAGAGCTAGATGTACTATGTTGATCAGTACACTAAAATAAATTTATTATTGAAATATTATTAATAAAAATACAGATTATTTGTATCTATTTGTTTACAAACGGTAATTTTATGTCAAACTACCCTAGTGACTATAGTTCAAAAGGCTGATATATATCACCCTCCTTTTGATTCAATTATAAAATTTGATGTACCAAATGTTATTTATCAGTCCAATAATCTACCAATGTATAACTTTAATAAATGTAATTATAATGATATTTCAAACTTTCTCTCTAATATAAACTTCGATCTTAACTTAGAATACGTTTCACTAGAGGACTCAATAATTAAGTTTTATGAAATAATTAATCACTCTTACTCTATCTTTGTGTCTAAAATTATAATTAATGAAAATTATTCTCCAATATGGGCTAATAAAAACCTGAAAAATTTAATTATTAGTAAAAAATATGCTCACAGAAATATAAGATTAGTGGTTTTTATTCAGATTATTTAGTTTTTTCAGCTCTTCGAAAACAATGTAAGCATCTAATATCTCTAACTCATTCAAAATTTATGTCTAATATTGAAGATAATATTCAAGTAAATATAAAGTTTTTTTTGAAATATATTAACTCTTTAAAAATGAATAAAAAATTCAAATATTCCTGATTTTGTATCTTATAATCAAATTCTATCTTCAAACAATGAAGAAAAAGTTCAGTTTTTTGCCAATCATTTTTCTAGTGTATTTGTTAAACCTGTTAATTCATCAAATGTTACAATTTCCTCACATGCATCAAAAAATATTCTTAATTTACACAAATGGTCTATTAGCGAAAATGAGATTTATGAATACTTAACTACATTAGATATTCACTCTGGATCTGGTCCTGATGGAGTACCGCCTGTTTTTTTGAAGAACTGTAAAGATGTTCTTGTTAAACCATTGTATTATATTTTTAATAAATCTTTAAAAATGGGTTTGTTTCCGGAAATTTGGAAAAAGTCATACGTAACTCCAATACATAAGTCAGGTGATAAATCAAATGTTTGTAACTATAGACCTATATTTAAATTAGCTATTCCTAAAATGTTTGAAGCCATTATCACTAAAGAGTTATCAGTTTTAATGTCACAACAACTAGTTAGCAATCAACATGGTTTTAGACAAAAAAAATCAACGCTTACTAATCTTCTTTTATATCAATCAAAAATTATTTCTGCTTTTAATGAGGGGCAGCAAATTGATGCAATATACACAGATTTTCAAAAAGCATTTGACAAAGTAAACCATAAACTCTTATCATTAAAATTAGAATATTTTGGATTAAATGGCTCGTTTTTAAATTGGATTAAAGTCGTAAAATTGCTCTCAGTTGTTTCAAATGATATTAAAGTACACTCTGGGGTGCCACAAGGTTCTCATTTAGGTCCTTTATTATTTATTTTATATATTAATGACTTGCCTAGTATTTTTGATACCCCTATAAATATTTTATTGTTTGCTGATGATGCCAAAATATTTACAGTTATCAACTCAATGAGTGATTGTATTAAATTACAGTTAAACATTGAAAAACTATATGATTGGAATGTTACAAATGAATTACTTCTGAACTTAAGCAAATGTAGAGTTATATCATTTTCCCCTAAAAAACATCCCATTTTCTTTAACTATAGTTTGATTAATTCCAGTTTAACTAGAGTTGATTTCATAAGTGATTTGGGAATAATTTTTGAGGATAATCTTTCCTTTACTAGACATATAAATTTGTCAGTCAGTAATGCTTTTAAGAGTTTGGGTTTTCTTAATAGAAATACTAAACATTTTAAAAACATAAATACTTTAAAATTGTTAAATTTTTCTCTTGTCAGATCAAAGTTTGAGTTTCGTTCTTTAGTTTGGTCCCCTAATTATGCTGTTTGCATTAATTTATTAGAAAACGTCCAATACAAGTATACGAAATCTATCTGTTTTAAATTGAATATTAGTCTTTCTAGGGATTCATATTATTTACATTCTACTCAGTTAGGTATTTCATCTTGTGAACTTAGAAGAAGAGTTAGTGATCTTATGTTTTTATATGACTTACTAAATGGTTATGTAGATTGCCCAGAGTTACTTTCAATGGTTGGCTTTAGAACTAGTCAAATAAACCTTAGAGTTATTAAACTGTTTCATGTTCCTTTCTGTACCACTAATTATAGCTCAGCATCATATTTTCCTCGAGTCCTATTGTTAGCTAATAAAATTCTAAACATTGTTGATTTTTTCTATATGTCTCGTGATGTCTTCAAATTGAATATTTATAATGCATTATCTAATTGTGTATTGTAATTTATTTATATCTAATTGTTTATTATTAATCTGATAGTATTTAGTTAAAATTGTATTTTTTCATTTAATTTATGTTAAACTAAGAAATTATTGTATTTATTCTATCGCATTATGTTAAAGGGNGATTAACTACCCATTCACGGTCTTTTAAAAACACCTTTCGATCTGTAGGAAAATATTTATTAAATGAATTTTTCAGTTGTTTGAGATGTTCAGAAATCTCGTTAATAATGCTAATGGGAGTTTGCAATTCGTTTTCTTCCAAAAAGGCCTGCATTATTGGAAAACACTCCAGCTCTCTTTTAAATATGCACTCTGACCAATAATCAATTTTTCTTTTCAATGCACATACTCTGGAGCTCGCATCAAAAATTGTCAAAGTTCTTCCTTGTAAAGAAAGACTTAATTCGTTCATTTTGTTAAAAATGTCTGCCAAGTACGATAGCTGACAAAGCCAAGTCACGTCATTCATAGTTTCAGCTAATGTAACGTTGTGGTCCATTAGAAATGAAGAAACTTCAGCCCTTAATTCCATTAACCGTGTTAATACTTTACCGCGAGATAACCACCGGATTTCTGTATGGAAAAGTAACGTATTATGAATACTTCCCAAGTCGTCACACAAGATTTTAAAAAGTCTAGATTTCAGAGGACGTGACTTGATGAAGTTGACTATTTTTATGGCTTCATCCAATACGTTTTTTAGACAAAGAGGAATATTTTTCATTGCTAGAGCATGTCTATGAAGTATGCAATGACTACTAGTAGTTTCATTTGATTTCTCCTTTATTTTAGCTATTGCTCCAGTTGTTGCACCTGTCGTGGCCCTAGCACGTATCGATGTATGTACCATCAGTACATACATCGATACAGTTTGTCCATGGAATCTGATTTTCTGTTAAAAAATCATCCAATAAACCGAAAATTTGAACCCCTGTCGTATTAGGTAGAAGTGGTTTACAAAATAAAAGTTCTTCCTCAAAAGAGTTCATGTTTACGTAACGAACGAACACCAATAGCACAGCAAGACCAGCAATATCGGTTGATTCGTCCATTTGTAGTGCGAATTTTGTGTATTTAATACGAGAGACAAGTGTTTCTGTTACGTAGCTAGCCAAATCTTCAATTCGCCGTGCAACAGTATTATTTGACAAAGGAATTATGGATAAATGTTTGGCAGATTTGTCATCAAGCATACAAGTTACTATATCAATAACACATGGTTTTATGAGGGTCTCCGCAATGGTATGAGCTTCGCCTTTTTGAGCTATACGGTAACTCACCATGTAGGAAGCTATCAATGCATTTTCATTATCGGTTAGAACGTGCTTTTTTATTTTTTTTTTAACAGACAATAGTTCAGAGCGCTTTCGTTTGAAAAAATCGAGTGGTTTCCCATTATGATCTGTGTGGACCTTTTCATAATGACGACGTAATTTTCCGGGATACATAGAACTGTTAGGAAAAACTTTTAAACAAATTACGCACTGTGGCTGGCCATCGTTTGTTTCTATGAACCCCATCTCCAAATAACTTTCATCGTATTTACGTTTTTTGGACGTTCTTGGGACAGAGTCACCAGTATTTGGCGGTAGTGTACTACTCATACCTTGAGAAATAGAACTATTATCATTAACTCCGTCTTCGTTGGTTATGCTTTCTTCTATATTAGAACAAGATGACTCCGTAGCAGGCGTCTTATTAATAGACCCACTTTTCAACCAACGGTCCATGTTTAAAACAAAAACAAACGTATGTACAGAAAAAAATAGTTTACGAAAATACGTGTTAACGCGTAAAATGTCGATCACAGACTGAAAGTAAATGCTCAACTGGTTTGGTATAATAATAATTCCGAAAATATACGAGTGATACAATTAAATTTAATGATAGGAAATTCGAAGAAGTCGCGTGCGTGTATATTATACACGCGAATTCAGATAACATTATACACTGTATAATGTTATCTGAATTTATTTAATCGATTTATGTGATTTATCTGATATTTATTAAGGGCCTATGCCATTTATTTTAATCGATACCAATTAGAAACACTGTATTAAATATATCGAGTGTACTAAGTAATTTCATACGTAAAACAATTTTTTTATTGCATTAATGCATTATCTAATTGTGTATTGTAATTTGTTTATATCTAATTGTTTATTATTAATCTGATAGTATTTAGTTAAAATTGTATTTTTTCATTTAATTTATGTTAACTAAGAAATTATTGTATTTATTCTATCGCATTATGTTAAAGGGTTTTTTTTTACCCGTTTATAATCTAAATCTAAATTTTTGGCAATAAGATTGGCTTAAGATAAAGTCTTTGGAAAAAAAGATGCGGAACTATAATTGTTTTTATAAAATGAAACATAGAACAAATTAGATTTTCTTAAACTACGATTTGGTGTTATAAAACCAATCATAGATAACAGTTCAGGGGAATCATTAAATCCATTTAATAAATCATATAAGAACATAATATCTGCAATATTTCTCCTTAATTCACAAGACGTGAATCCCAGTTGGGATATTTGCAAGTAATTAGATATATTTAATTTATAACTCAATAACTTAAAGAATTTGAACTGAACATTCTTAATTGAATTCCTGTAAGTTGTATGTATCGAATACAAATGCTTGAGTTTTGTCCAATAAAGACCACTTTGCAAGGTTATCATATACTGCAGATGATATTTGTAGCCCTGTTCCAGATGGTATTTGAGGGACACCAAGTATCTGTTTTAAATCAGTTCTGGTTATAATTACTGGTAGACGATTTACTTTGTCTTGTCCAGTCAAATTGTGTAGTAATTTACTATCCCAGTGTACTACCACAAAATAACTTTCTATATTTATGTTGCCTGAATCTGGCCATCTCATTTCGCTGATACCGAGGATTGAAATGTTCATCCATTTCTTTTATGGCATTGTGTATTTTTCCTGCCTGGTACATTGTTCTTACATTCCATTATCAAATTCTTACTTTCTCCTGCTTCTTAATCTTACCACAAACATCAGTACTTCTATATGCAACCGTTCCTCCCGGAGATCCGAATGAGGAACTTACTCCGGATAATAATTTAATCGCACTCGTAGTCATGATGATATATACTAGAACTTATCCATTCTGGATCTTTAATGAGGTGGTTTGTCCGAAAATTCTTCCTCATTCCTATGCCGTTGACCGCGTTCTACAGTTCATCCGCCTTTAGAGCCGGTTTCCCAATTCCAGGATAAAAGAGTGCCCTTCTCATGACGGCTCCTCCACACTCAAACGTAATTGAGGATCCGCTGTATAAATTTGAAAATAATCGTTTTTAATTATTGTATTTCCATATAAAAATTGAAGATCGCTGCTTTGAGCTAGTGGATTTTGTTACAATTTGAATTCAATGTTTTGCATGCTACTGTTAAATTTTTCTAACAAAATCTTTACAGCCTAACGAATTTTTTCTCTCGTAGCAATTGGTTCAAACTCTAATTATTTATAACGAGGATCTAGAAAAGATGCAATTTGTTTTACAGAGACAGAATTCGTTACACTAGTCAAGTTTGAATCGTTCTTTAATTTCAAATATTATTGTAGATTTAAATTCAGTGGTATATTGATCATCAGTTTCATAATGCTTTAAATGGTGATTCAATCATTTTGATAGTAATGGTCTTACCATTGACGCAGGAGAATAGTTCTCGGAGCAAAATAAATTTGTAATAACATATAATGGTTTGAGGAGACTTACAAGATTTTCTATTCTTAACAACTGAAATTCAGTTATTTCTAATTTTGGCTCAATGAATAAAGATGTGATTGTTCTGTCTGCCAAAACATTTGAAACTGGATTCCTGCTTTTTGAAAGACGGTCTAACATTAAATCACTTTTAATCATTTTTAGGCCCCCCCTCAAAAAAAAAAAAAATTTAACTTATCATATATAATATCATATATAATTAACTTATTATATATATACGAGGTGTGTTCAAAAAGTAAGTTGACTTAATATTTTTATGAAAAACTATTTATTTATTCATCAATGTTTATGTTGTCCCCTTCAAAGTAATCCCCTTCAGATGTAATAAACTTGTGCTAACGCTTTTTCCAATCTTCGAAACACTTCTGATAAGCACTTTTTGGTATAGCCTTGAGCTCTTTCAGCGATGCAGTTTTTATCTCCCCAATTGTTGCAAATCTTCGTCCTTTCATAGGGTTTTTCAGTTTTGGGAACAGAAAAAAGTCGCATGGGGCTAAATCCGGTGAATATGGTGGCTGAGGCATGATTGTGGTGTTGTTTTTGGCCAAAAAATCTCTCACAAGCAACGATGAGTGAGCAGGTGCATTATCATGATGCAAAAGCCATGAATTGTTTTTCCATAATTCCGGACGTTTTCTTCGTATTGCTTCTCGCAAATGACGCATAACTTCAAGATAATACTCCTTATTGACCGTACGACCTTGTGGTAAGAACTCNCAAAATAATACTCCTTATTGACCGTACGACCTTGTGGTAAGAACTCTTGATGCACTCCGCCACGACAATCGAAGAAAACGGTGAGCAAAACCTTGACATTTGATCGAACTTGGCGTGCTTTTTTCGGTCTTGGCTCTCCTGNTGCGCTGTTTTACATTATAAATGATTAAATTTTAAAATTATAGTATTCAAAAAGGACCGAAATCTGGTATACTGAAGAAAAAAAAAGAAACCATTACTACACAAATGTAAATTATTATTAATGAGTCTATTTGATTTTATATTATTTTTGAAAAGTAAACATTTTTTTTTTCAATTGCAGGTCTATTGACAACCCAAATTACTCATTTAATTTCGATACTTACGAGCAAGGTCAAAATTGTTCAATGCCGAATATTATTTTAAATCAATTTTTCGACATTCCTGGCGATGGAAATTGTCTTTTCTATTCTTTAATTAAAGTAATGAACTTATCAATTTCCTCGCTAGAACTAAGAAAGCTACTCCTACAATCAGAATATTTGCACACATGCCAAAGTCCATCTAGTGCTCAGACAATATTAAGTAGTGCATCTGAGTATGGAGATTTGGACTGCATATTTATTTTTTCAAAAGAATACAATCAAAACATCTGCGTGCACTTTCATTTTTTTAACAGCGTCTCTAAAAAATCAGATGTCATATTTTGTCATTTTAAATCAAATTATTCATCAAATTTCATTCATCTGCATTTACAAAACAACCATTTCACACCATACATTGAAGTAGGCCAATTTATTTCGAACGATAGAGTTAATGATCATGAAATGGTTGATCTATCTATTGAAACAGATTTAAATAGTGTTAACAACGATGATGATAATGTAGATTGCGAAAACAATGACGATGGCAATAATAACGACGAAGAAAACATGCCAATTGACGAAGCTACAGTTACTTTACCAATTTACACACGCTATTATGAACATGCGAATGGTCACTTACAATTTCACCGTAAATTTAAAAACAATTCTTTCGGACATTCCTGTGCTGTTTGTAATAGGCTTTGGTGGAAAGGTGATCTAAAGAATACGACTGATGCTCATGCAGATATTCTACAGAATATATTGCCGGTAATTTTTTTTTTTTATAATTACAATTTCATTAATTTTTAATATTATTTTTCTTCAAATTTTTTAAAATTTACATTAATTTTTTTTTTAGAATTTTAATATTGGTTCCACTTTTAAAATCTGTTCAACGTGTAGAAGTGCTTTAGACAAGGGAAAAATCCCATTATTATCAACGTACAACGGTTTTTCATACCCAAAAATTCCACTTCATTTGCCTAAATTAAATATTATTGAACAGCGGCTAATTTCACCAAGAATACCATTTATGCAGATACGGAGATTGAGGCACATGAATGGACAGTATGGTATTTATGGACAAATAATTAATGTTCCTGTTAAAGTTGATACTATGGTAAAGCAGTTACCCAGAAATCTCGAAGATGATCATTGTTTTTATGTTCATTTAAAAAAAAAATTAATTCATAAAAGCAGCTACGTCCATGGGCTAGTTAGTAAAAAGAACATCAAAGAATGGTTATCTTATTTGGTAAAAACACCACTTTACATTCATGAAAATATTACCATCAGTGAAGCATTTCTGAATAATTATTCAGATACTGAAATTAATAATGATATTTCAATTGAAGAATACAGTGAACATGTTCCAATTGAAGATAATCTGACTGCTCAGCAACAAACTATGTTATGGAATGAAGATGAAATGTTACTAATGGCACCAGGCGAAAAAAGTGCCCCAAAAAGTCTTTTATTTGACCAGTATGCTGAAGAGCTTTCATACCCTACGATTTATGGTGGACAGTTCAGAAATTATAAAGAGGGATGCAATGTAACTTCTTTTATGCAAGCTACCAGCGAACTACGACGTGCAGATCGCCGTGCCACAGACCCTCAACATCTTTTGTATGTAGCAGCAAAAATTATGAGACAACGAGTTAGCAGCTCTGTAAACGTTGCTTTTAAACATGTTGGAAGCAATACTAAAATTACTAAAGCAGACATTCAATCTGAAGAATACATTAATTGTTGTATAGAAAGTAATCTCGCATTTCTTCGATGTATACCAAACTCTGCTTGGTATTGGACTGAACGGAAAAAAGAACTTTTTGCTATGATTAGGCAATTAGGAGCACCGACTGCTTTCATGACACTTAGTGCAAATGAAACAGGATGGACAGATTTACTAAAAATACTATATAAACTTAAAAATAATGGAGTGGATATTTGTGATGAATTTTTATCAAAAATGTCTTATGTACAAAAAGCTGAACTAGTTAATGAAGATGCAATTACTTGTGCTATTTATTTCAACAAGCTAGTAAATTGCCTAATGAGTATTTTACAAAGTAAAAGAGGCAATCCATTTGGTAAATATAGAGTGTGTCATTTTTTTAAACGTATTGAATTTCAACATCGAGGAAGTCCACATGCTCATATACTTTTATGGTTTGATAATGCGCCTGAAGATTTACTAAATAACACTCGAGATTTTATCGAAATGGTAGACTCATTAATTTCGGTATCTGAATCAGAGGCATCCGGAAATATTAAATTACAAACACACAAACACACTTTTACATGTTACAAAAACATGAATCCTGCAAAAAAAAA